TTTGAATGTTGTGTTATGTCTTGCCACGAACCCTGTACATTTAGCCAAGATAGACACAACAGGGTTGAGCTCACAATGTCTGAATGCCGTACGTAAGACAACGTAACCGTGTTGTGCCGCCAGCACATATGTATTGTACCTTACTGATTTCTTATTCAACCGAATTTTCTCCATAAGTAGAACTTTCGTTTCATATGGTCTGAAGTCGACCAATGTCATATATTCCTGTATGGTCGCCTTCAGACTTATCATGGTTTGGGCGACAGTATCTGATTCCCAGACGTTATATTAACTGACGTTATCCATGACAATCACACTGACGTTTTTTTAAAATGGGCAATAGCTGAAGTTCCCACCAGTCTATGAACACATCACCTATAATTTCCTTATGAAAATTACCAGTATTCTTTTTCGCCTCGAAAACATCCATCAATAAGCCCCATATCATGGGTTGCAGCGTGCAAAACCATGACACGATTACCTTTACTTGATGGTACCATGGGTACTTTTTGTCCATCTGCCGATAGCCACATGTAGTCAGTGGAATGATTCATCAAGGTAAATTATCTGGACGCCCTGACTGTGATAGTTATGAATGGTTCGGAGATAATGTGACCACATTGACAGGATGGAATGTTTTCCCCTGAAAAGTGCTCGGTCATCGCCACGCGCAGTGTATCGAAATCCCATCTTTTGGAGAGCAATAGTGAATTCCTCCCAAATTCTTCTACAAGTCAGGGCTACCTTCTGTTCATAAAGCTTGTACACTATACGCCTAATCACCCTGTATCAAAGCTGTCTAATATCATTTTACGCCAAAGTTTTGTTTTTGAGACCACCCCTATACCTGTTTTGTTTTCTTATCATACCGTAGACTTGATGGTATGAATTGAAAACACCATAGCTTGGGCAGTTCGGTAATTCACCCTAGCTAAATTAATAAATGGTTTCCCTCTATCTCTCTAAAGTGTAAAGAACTTTATGCATTTCCAAGTACAGATTCCATATCGTGTACCTTGGTTATGGCTATGCACGTGTAATGTAACATGCGTCATGGGAGCAATGTTAACACAAAAAACGCAGCGTCATTTTGTCATTTTAGAAGATGCACATCTTGAATTTTCTCAAAATGATTTTTGTGTGTGGAGTAGATGTTTAATGACGACTACATTATTATCATTGTAACGGAGTCACGTGCACATATTTCTATAGTCCGTTTCAGGGCGGTCGGGTAGCCTAGTGGTTAAAGCGTTCGCTCGTCACGCCGAAGACCCGGGTTCGATTCCCGACATGGGTACAATGTGTGAAGCCCATTTCTGGTGTCTCCCGCCGTGATATTGCTGGAATATTGCTAAAAGCGGCGTAAAACTATACTCATTCTATAGTCCGTTTCAGAATGCCATCATTGGACTTAGAATAAAAGTGAACTTCCTGTTTTCGTTCGAATTTGTCTCCTGTACACTTGTCGATGGACTCCTTGTGCCTGAAATACTTCAAACCACAGGTAGGGCGATCGGTAGTTACTCAGTATTTCAATAACAACAGTCTGTGAAAAATTATATCCCTTTTTAACAGGCAAAAAGCAGTTTTTCTAGCATTTCCGACAGTACTTTAGATTTTTTCCCAGCAATCGTCATAAAGACAATTCTTATGTTTGATTCCCGTTAATCATGTCATGTTTGTTGTGCATTGCGCGCAAACACATCTCAAAAATGTTTTTTGTAAACGTTTATCAGCAAAAATGCAAAAGATGGACAGAAATTGCTTTCAGAAAAAGTTTTCAGCACAATGCACGTGCAAAATGTTGAAAACAAGAGTAGAGACACTGACTATAAAAGACCGTACAAAATTCATCAGTTCATTACGAATTTTCTGACGTGAACGGAGACCGAAAAATGCCAAGATTAACTGCAGCTGACTGAAATATTGCCATTTGACGTTTGGAAGCAGGGGATTCCCAGTCTGCCGTTGCAGGACACTTCAACGTTCACCAAAGCACCATATCTCGACTATGGGATCGAAATACCTGCACTAATTCGACTCAAGATCATCCCAGAAGTGGAAGACCAAGAGTGACCACCCCTGCTCAGGATCGGTACATCCGGTTGCATCACCTTCGGAATCGATTTGTTACAGCAACGAACACTGCAGGACAAGTGCCTGGAAAGCGAAGAATTTCCGACCAAACCATCAGAAATCGTCTGAGGGAAGTGGGAATTCGAGCGAGACGACCAAAAGTTGGACCTGTCTTGCGACGTCTACACCGTCAACGACGTGTCCGGTGGTGCAACAGCGTACAGGCATGGGATCTCAGGAACTGGCGACGCGTTTGGTTCAGCGATGAGTCACGTTTTCTTCTTCAACGACTGGATAGAAGACAACGTGTAAACCGACGTCGACATGAACGTTTTGCGCCGAACTGCGTTCGACAGGTGGACCGAGTTGGTGGCGGGAGCGTCAAGGTGTAGGGAGCCATATCCTACACGGGTAGATCACAGTTAGTGGTTGTCGAGGGCAATCTTACAGCAAACCGATACGTAGACCAAATTCTGCGTCCTCACCTCCTCCGAACTTTGGACCGCCAGAGGGAGCTGTTCATACATGACAACGTCCGCCCCTACTGAGCACGTGCAACAGTTAATTTCCTTGTTAATGAGAACATCAATGTCCTTGCATGGCCGTCCATATCGCCTGATCTCAACCCGATTGAAATTTGTGGGACGAACTTGATCGACGCGTCCGTCAACGTCACCAGCGTCCCCACACACTGGCACAACTCACCAACGCCTTACAGGAGGAATGGCGAAGAATTCCCCACGAAAAAATTCGAAGACTTATGCAATCTATGCCAAGGAGGTGTCGAGCAGTGACGGCTGCAAGAGGTGGTGTGACCAGGTACTGACCATGACGCCCCCTTGTGGCTACACATGTGCAATGACTGAACCGAATTAATGCTGGCAATGACGACAATGCTTTTGTCGATCACTGTGTCTAATTTCATTTGATTGTGTTCACGCATATTCTGCGTAGATACGTTTACATCCGCTTAATAAATATCCTTATTTTTTAAGTGCGTTCCTTTTTTTGAAGAGTGTACAATGTTCTATACGAAGATCTATGTGTTTGCTTTAATGCGATGTTCTGTATGGTCATCTATATTATGTCCTATACGACTATCTATTTTGTGGTATATGAGATGTACTATTGGGTGTTTTATATGTAATGTTTTATTCGATGATCTATATGCTCTACATACTGCTCTATACGATTATTCATATAATGCCATATATATACTGCTCTATGCGATGTTCCATTTGGTGATGTGTACAATGTTCTATACAATGATCGATTTTTTGTCTCTGAGATGTTCTGTTTGATGATCTATATTATGGTCTATACGATTATCTATTTTTTAGTCTATACGATTTTCTGTTGGGTGTTTTATATAATGTTCTTTGCGATAATATATGTAATGCTATATGCTATATATGAATATAGGCTATATAGACAATGCTATATGGGATGTTTGACAACAGAAACAGCCCAAATAAACGAGTTCCATAATTTCACCAAGTTATCTGTATGTTTGCAGCCACCTATCCAGGTTGTGAATGAAGTAATAGCTACGTCTGTGCAACACTTCAATATGTACTTAATTCCAAAAAAACGCACATCCTACAGTATGGACGTCGCCACCTGACATCAGCCGTTGACAACCGACGCACTGTGTTTGCCGACGACATGTTATTCTAGCGCTGTGCATTTTGTTGCGCAAATAGATCACTTTTATTGGATATCAATAAGATCGGAAGATACGACATGAGAAGTACGTTTCTTTTGGAACTTAGTATTCCTCCTGGTGTAAATAAGCCCTATATTGTTTGTATATCGCATACAGCATCATGGCAGACCTGGGCCGGAGATAACACCAACTTACTAAACGTATATAATTGATGGCAATTACTTGTATAGTGTTGGTGAATGCAAATCTCCAAGAATTTACGATAAGAATTAATATCGGGTGTTGTAATGCAGGTCATAATTTCTGATAGATTTCTTTCATAAAATTAAACAGAGTTCATAGCGCCGAATGAATATTGACACAACAATCAATTACTCACATATGATTTATGCAGCAGTATCGTGTGAACGTAAATACCGGCTTTTAGGCTCAGAACAGTTATGATGGGCGAGCATTCAGATGTAAGCGAGCGTAAAGATGATAACAGATAGTTTACACCCAGGTGTGTTGCTTAACTAAAATATCAATCTTATCTTGGAATCAGTCGGCTTGAATCAACTAGAACGAGGTAATTTATCAAATTACCTAAACAAAAGCCTCAAAGAGATTTGTTATTAAGTAAATCGTTCCCACCCGCCAAGGATGCAGTCTCTGTACGGCTATTGTACAACCACAAGACGTCCTACACCACGGGCTGAATGTAGAGATACAACCACAGGACGCCCTACACCACGGGCTGAATGTAGAGATACAACCACAGGACGCCCTACACCACGGGCTGAATGTAGAGATACAACCACAGGACGCCCTACACCACGGGCTGAATGTAGAGATACAACCACAGGACGCCCTACACCACGGGCTGAATGTAGAGATACAACCACAGCACTCCCTACACCACGGTCTGAATGTAGAGATACAACCACAGGACGCCCTACACCACGGGCTGAATGTAGAGATACAACCACAGGACGCCCTACACCACGGGCTGAGTGTAGAGATACAACCACGGGCTAAATGTAGAGATACAACCATAGGACGCCCTACACCACGGGCTGAGTGTAGAGATACAACCACGGGCTGAGTGTAGAGATACAACCACAGGACGCCCTACACCACGGTCTGAATGTAGAGATACAACCACAGGACGCCCTACACCACGGTCTGAATGTAGAGATACAACCACAGGACGCCCTACACCACGGTCTGAATGTAGAGATACAACCACAGCACTCCCTACACCACGGTCTGAATGTAGAGATACAACCACAGGACGCCCTACACCACGGTCTGAATGTAGAGATACAACCACAGGACGCCCTACACCACGGTCTGAATGTAGAGATACAACCACAGGACGCCCTACACCAAGGGCTGAGTGTAGAGATACAACCACAGGACGCCCTACACCACGGGCTGAGTGTAAAGATACAACCACAGGACGCCCTTCACCACGGGCTGAATGTAGACATGCAACCACAGGACGTCCTACACCACGGGCTGAATGTAAGTTGATACAACCACACGACATCCTACACCACGGTCTGAGTATAGAGATACAACCACAGGACGCCCTACACCATGGTCTGAATGTAGAGATACAACCACAGGACGCCCTACACCACGGGCTGAATGTAGAGATACAACCACAGGACGCCCTACACCACGGGCTGAATGTAGAGATACAACCACACGACGTCCTACACCACGGTCTGAATGTAGAGATAAAACAACAGGACGCCCTACACCACGGGCTGAATGTAGAGATACAACCACAGGACGCCCTACACCACGGGCTGAATGTAGAGATACAACCACACGACGTCCTACACCACGGGCTGAATGTAGAGATAAAACAACAGGACGCCCTACACCACGGGCTGAATGTAGAGATACAACCACAGCACGTCCTACACCACGGGCTGAGTGTAGAGATACAACCACGGGCTGAATGTAGAGATACAACCACAGGACGCCCTAGACCACGGTCTGAATGTAGAGATACAACCACAGGACGCCCTACACCACGGGCTGAATGTAGAGATACAACCACAGGACGCCCTACACCACGGGCTGAATGTAGATATACAACCACAGGACGCCCTACATCACGGGCTGAATGTAGAGATACAACCACAGGACGCCCTTCACCACGGTCTGAATGTAGAGATACAACCACAGGACGCCCTACACCACGGGCTGAATGTAGAGATACAACCACAGGACGCCCTACACCACGGGCTGAATGTAGAGATACAACCACAGCACCCCCTACACCACGGGCTGAATGTAGAGATACAACCACAGGACGCCCTACACAACGGGCTGAATGTAGAGATACAACCACAGGACGCCCTACACCACGGGCTGAACGTAGAGATACAACCACAGGACGCCCTACATCACGGGCTGAATGTAGAGATACAACCACAGGACGCCCTACACCACGGTCTGAATGTAGAGATACAACCACAGGACGCCCTACACCACAGGCTGAATGTAGAGATACAACCACAGGACGCCCTACACCACGGGCTGAATGTAGAGATACAACCACAGGACGCCCTACACCACGGGCTGAATGTAGAGATACAACCACAAGACGCCCTACACCGCGGGCTGAATGTAGAGATACAACCATAGGACGCCCTACACCACGGGCTGAATGTAGAGATACAACCACAGGACGCCCTACACCACGGTCTGAATGTAGATATACAACCACAGGACGCCCTACACCACGGTCTGAATGTAAGTTGAAACAACCACTGATTGAAAGAAAGTTCATACAACCACGAATGAACTATGCACAAAAACAAGGTGTGATGCTAGAACACGATGTACGAAACAAGGTGTGATGCTGGAACACGATGTAAGAAACAAGATGTGATGCTAGAACACGATGTAAGAAACAAGGTGTAATGCTAGAACACGATGTAAGAAACAAGGTGTGATGCTAGAACACGATGTACAAAACAAGGGATGATGCTAGAACACGATGTACGAAACAAGGTGTGATGCTAGAACACGATGTAAGAAACAAGATGTGATGCTAGAACACGATGTAAGAAACAAGGTGTGATGCTAGAACACGATGTAAGAAACAAGGTGTGATGCTAGAACACGATGTAAGAAACAAGATGTGATGCTAAAACACGATGTAAGAAACAAGGGATGATGCTAGATCACGATGTAAGAAACAAGGTGTGATCCTAGAACACGATGTAAGAAACAAGGTGTGATGCTAGAACACGATGTAAGAAACAAGGTGTAATGCTAGAACACGATGTAAGAAACAAGGTGTGATGCTAGAACACGATGTAAGAAACAAGGTGTGATGCTAGAACACGATGTAAGAAACAAGATGTGATGCTAGAACACGATGTAAGAAACAAGATGTGATGCTAGAACACGATGTAAGAAACAAGATGTGATGCTAGAACACGATGTAAGAAACAAGAGATGATGCTGGAACACGATGTAAGAAACAAGGTGTGATGGTAGAACACGATGTAAGAAAGAAGGGGTGATGCTAGAACACGATGTAAGAAACAAGGTGTGATGCTGGAACACGATGTACGAAACAAGGTGTGATGCTAGAACACGATGTACGAAACAAGGTGTGATGCTAGAACACGATGTAAGAAACAAGGTGTGATGCTAGAACACGATGTACGAAACAAGGTGTGATGCTAGAACACGATGTAAGAAACAAGATGTGATGCTACAACACGATGAAAGAAACCAGCTGTGATGCTAGAACACGATGTAAGAAACAAGGTGTGATGCTAGAACACGATGTAAGAAACAAGCTGTGATGCTGGGACACGATGTAAGAAACAAGGTGTGATCCTAGAACACGATGTACGAAACAAGCTATGATGCTAGAACACGATGTAAGAAACAAGGTGTGATGCTACAACACGATGAAAGAAACAAGCTGTGATGCTAGAACATGATGTAAGAAACAAGGTGTGATGCTGGAACACGATGCAAAAAACAAGGTGTGATGCTAGAACACGATGTAAGAAACAAGGTGTGATGCTAGAACACGGTGTAAGAAACAAGGGGTGATGCTGGTAAATTAGGTACGAAACAAGCTGTGATGCTGGGACACGATGCAAGAAACAAGGTGTGATGCTAGAAGACGAAGTAAGAAACAAGGTGTGATGCTAGAACACGATGTAAGAAACAAGGTGTGATGCTGGAACACGATGTAAGAAACAAGGTGTGATGCTGGAACACGGTGTAAGAAACAAGGTGTGATGCTAGAACACGGTGTAAGAAACAAGGGGTGATGCTGGTACATTAGGTACGAAACAAGCTGTGATGCTGAGACACGATGTAAGAAACAAGGTGTGATGCTAGAACACGATGTAAGAAACAAGGTGTGATGCTAGAACATGATGTAAGAAACAAGGTGTGATGCTAGAACACGATGTGAGAAACAAGGTGTGATGCTAGAACACGATGTAAGGAACAAGGTGTGATGCTAGAACACGATGTAAGAAACAAGGTGTGATGCTAGAACACGATGTAAGAAACAAGAGATGATGCTGGAACACGATGTAAGAAACAGGTTGTGATGCTTGTACATTAGGAACGAAACAAGCTGTGATGCTGGTACATTAGTTACGAAACAAGCTGTGATGCTGGAACATTAGGTACGAAACAAGCTAGATGTGTACAGTATGAAGGCAGATGTGTACAGTATGAAGACAGATGTATACAGTATGAAGACAGATGTGTACAGTATGAAGACAGATGTATACAGCATGAAGACAGTTGTGTACAGGATGAAGATAGATGTATACAGTTTGAAGACAGATGTGTACAGTATGAAGACAGATGCGTACAGTATGAAGACAGATGTGTACAGTATGAAGACAGATGTGTACAGTATGAAGACAGATGCGTACAGTATGAAGATAGATGTGTACAGTATGAAGATAGATGTGTACAGTATGAAGACAGATGTATACAGTATGAGGACAGATGTGGACAGCATGAAGGCAGATGTGTACAGTATGAAGACAGATGTGTACAGTATGAAGACAGATGTATACAGTATGAAGACAGATGTATACAGTATGAAGGCAGATGTATACAGCATGAAGACAGATGTATACAGTATGAAGACAGATGTGTACAGCATGAAGATAGATGTGTACAGTATGAAGACAGATGTGTACAGTATGAAGACAGATGTATACAGTATGAAGGCAGATGTGTAAAGCATGAAGACAGATGTGTACAGTATGAAGACAGATGTATACAGTATGAAGGCAGATGTATACAGTATGAAGATAGATGTGTACAGTATGAAGACAGATGTGAAGAGTATGAAGACAGATGTGTACAGTATGAAGACAGATGTGTACAGTATGAAGACAGATGTGTACAGCATGAAGACAGATGTGTACAGTATGAAGACAGATGTGTACAGTATGAAGACAGATGTGTACAGTATGGAGACAGATGTGTACAGTATGAAGATAGATGTGTACAGTATGAAGGTAGATGTGTACAGCATGAAGACAGATCTGTACAGCATGAAGACAGATGTATACAGTATGAAGACAGATGTGTACAGCATGAAGACAGATGTATACAGTATGAAGACAGATGTGTACAGCATGAAGACAGATGTATACAGTATGAAGACAGATGTATACAGTATGAAGACAGATGTGTACAGTATGAAGACAGATGTGTACAGTATGGAGACAGATGTATACAGTATGAAGGCAGATGTGTACAGTATGAAGACAGATGTGAAGAGTATGAAGGCAGATGTGTACAGTGTGAAGACAGATGTGTACAGTATGAAGATAGATGTATACAGTATGAAGATAGATGTGTACAGTATGAAGACAGATGTGTACAGTATGAAGACAGATGTGTACAGTATGAAAATAGATGTGTACAGCATGAAGACAGATGTGTACAGTATGAAGACAGATGTATGCAGTATGAAGACAGATGTGTACAGTATGAAGACAGATGTATACAATATGAAGATAAATGTGTACAGTATGAAGACAGATGTGTACAGTATGAAGACAGATGTATACAGTATGAAGGCAGATGTGTACAGCATGAAGACAGATGTGTACAGTATGAAGACAGATGTATACAGTATGAAGGCAGATGTATACAGTATGAAGATAGATGTGTACAGTATGAAGACAGATGTGAAGAGTATGAAGACAGATGTGTACAGTATGAAGACAGATGTGTACAGTATGAAGACAGATGTGTACAGCATGAAGACAGATGTGTACAGTATGAAGACAGATGTGTACAGTATGAAGAATGATGCATGAATTTTGATGGAAATAAGCATTTAGTCGCCACTTACGAAAAGCATAGGTTGCTCAAGATCTATTCTAACCCGGATTGTCACAGGTATAAAGCATGAAATACTATGTATAAAGAATGAAGTACGATCGAATAATTCGTGTTTTGAAATGTGAATGTATATTATGTGTACAAGATGTGAGAGCGGGTATCAGTATGTAAGGAGTTTGTGGAGTGGTATCGGATCTGGCTTCAAGCGGCAATGCTTCCCAAGACAATCACGTCATCTAGCAGACCATATCTTCACCACCTGTCATAGCTGATGTTATCCTAATCGATTTGCTGTTTTAACGCTAACTGCTTTGACTAACGTCGAGTTGGTCCTTTAGAAACAATTTAAGGTAATTTTATTCAGTACTAAAGAAGGCAGATTACCATCTACACAACAACAATTACCTTTTATGCTCTCTCTTTAAAGTCGGAAACCAAAACCGATGGGAATAAAAAGTGACATTTTTGTAGTTGTAAGTCTGAAACGCGAGATGCAGGTTACGGTATCCATCGTGTACTTAGACAGATAGGCAGTGGGACAACACACACGTGATAACAATACTTGTGTTTCAAGATGAGCAAACGTGTAATTAGTTGCTATCTGTAAGTGCAAACTATTAACGACACGCTCAGCCACAACTAAAGTGCTAAAGTACGACGCATGTGAGTTGTCACAAGCAGGTATGGCATGTATCGCCCAGTCAAGAGCCAGCTCAGTTCAGTTTATTCTCAGAAAGACTCACCAACGGTGGTACATGCGAAATAATTATAATATAAATTCATATATAATAATATCAAGATGGCAGGAATATTGTGCAAATACATATAGAGATTAGAAGTTACAATTAATTATGACAAAATTAAAGTGACAAGACTCTCACACAAGTTTTTAAGAGCTTCAACATTTCAAAAGATATTGGTATTGATGAATGTGGACAAGTTTGTCATATCTTTAACCTAATACTGGATAGATACTTTTTTCAATTGATAAATATTCGGCCTTTCGGAGAGATCTTAAGGAATGTACATAGACCGCCACTGGAGAAGAGCTTCACATCTGAATAGGTGATGAAACTCGTCACCCTCCGCGGGAGAACTACATACATTACACAAACGTTCCAACGTTGCAATGGTCTGCTTGTATGTCATGCAACTGGTACAAGATCAATGGGCAATTCCTGCAATAGTTTGTATGTGTGTCATGCAACTGGTACAAGCTCAATGGGCAATTCCTGCAATAGTTTGTATGTGTGTCATGCAACTGGTACAAACTCAATGGGCAGTTCCTGCAATAGTTTGTATGTGTGTCATGCAACTGGTACAAACTCAATGGGCAGTTCCTGCAATGGTTTGTATGTGTGTCGTGCAACTGGTACAAGAGCTATGGGCAGTACCTGCAATAGTTTGCATGTGTGTCATGCAACTGGTACAAACTCAATGGACAGTTCCTGCTATAGTTTGTATGTGTGTCATGCAACTGGTACAAGCTCAATGGGAAAGTCCTGCAATAGTTTGTATGTGTGTCATGCAACTGGTACAAGCTCAATGGGAAAGTCCTGCAATAGTTTGTATGTGTGTCATGCAACTGGTACAAGCTCAATGGGAAAGTCCTGCAATAGTTTCCATTTGTGTCATGCAACTGGTACAAGCTCAATGGGAAAGTCCTGCAACAGTTTGTATGTGTGTCATGCAACTGGTACAAGAGCAATGAGCAGTTCCTGCAATAGTTTGTATGTGTGTCATTCAACGGGAACAAACTCAATGGACAATTCCTACAATAGTTTGTATGTGTGTCATGCAACTGGTACAAGCTCCATGGGAAAGTCCCGCAATAGTTTGTATGTATTTCATGCAACTGGTAAAAGGGTAATGGGCAGTTCCTGCAATAGTTTGCATGTGTGTCATGCAACTGGTACAAACTCAATGGGCAGTTCATGCAGTTGTTTTTATGTGTGTAATCCAACTGGTACAAGAGCAATGGGCAGTTCCTGCAATAGTTTGTATGTGTGTCATGCAACTGGTACAATCTCAATGGGAAGGTCCTGTAATAGTTTGTATGTGTGTCATGGAACTAGTACAAGCTCAATGGGAAGGTCCTGTAATAGTTTGTATGTGTGTCATGCAGCTGGTACAATCTCAATGGGAAAGTCCTGTAATAGTGTGTATGTGTGTCATGGAACTAGTACAAGCTCAATGGGAAAGTCCTGCAATAGTTTGTATGTGTGTCATGGAACTAGTACAAGCTCAATGGGAAAGTCCTGCAATAGTTTGTATGTGTGTCATGCAACTAGTACAAACTCAATGGGAAAGTCCTGCAATAGTTTGTATGTGTGTCATGGAACGAGTACAAGCTCAATGGGAAAGTCCTGCAATAGTTTGTATGTGTGTCATGCAACTGGAACAAGCTCAATGGGAAAGTCCTGCAATAGTTTGTATGTGTGTCATGGAACGAGTACAAGCTCAATGGGAAAGTCCTGCAATAGTTTGTATGTGTGTCATGGAACTAGTACAAGCTCAATAGGCAATTCCTGCAATAGGCAGTATGTGTTGCATCCAAATGGTACAAGCTGTCTGTATTTTGCGCAAATGAGAACCCATGTGTATTAATAATAGGGTACCAGTCGATCCTTTCCTGGGTTTTGACCCTTAGGCTGCAAACATCATATACATACTCGTGGTTTTCAACAAAGGATTCAACTTCTGGAACTTGAATCACGTTAACGTCCCATTTCAAGATGACACGCCGTGAAATCACAACACCATTGTACGTGGAAACAAACTCACTCACTCCGTGAATATATACCGCTGCAAAGTGAGTAGATATTTCATCCGCCAGTAGGCAGTAGTCAAATGTGATGCCAACTCGATTCGGATGCTTCAGTTATGAGACGCTGTCACGTCACTGACGTCACTTCCGGGAGGCTGCAGGCTGCAACCTTGGCCATGTGCGTCTTTTTCCCGCGTTTCCGAGTGTCCTATTTGTCACGGACACATGCCACTCTTTCCACTCTTCCAATTTCCTCATCATTATCAGTTCTTTTCGCAGTCCAGTGACCACCCCTCCACCGCCGCACCGCTCAGTGCGCCCTGCAACCCAACACCGCCATCACGTGACCTGCCGGCTACCCTCAGCGAGCAAGGTGTGAGTTTCAACACATTTCGCAGTTATCCGATTCTGCGCATTAAGATGTCAGACGGGACTTCCCCTAGTGATCTCATAACACGAGCTAAGCCGTGACAGTTTGTAAAACACAGAGACAGTCACTTCCTTCTACCATTTCCCCTCCGTCTTTCTTTCTTCTACCATTTCCTCCCTATCTCTCTCTCTCTCTCCTAATCACCTTACTCACTTTCCCCCTCTTCCATTTCCCACTGCCTTTCTCTCTTCGTGTGTGTCAGCATATAGAATCAAGAATCAAGAATCAAGAATTTTTATTGTACGGAACACCCTCGTAGGGCAGGGTACAAACTATCTACATATGGAATAAATATAACTATCAACATGAAAGGTAGATAAAAATAATGTACATTATATATATAAATATTACATATTATTTCATTCATAGTGTATAAACATTTATATATATATATATATATATATATATATATATATATATCACGAGGTGGCTGGCAGCGTGTACTTTAATGTTGCTGATACTGTACAGATAAGACATAATAATCATAAGGTCATGACTTGATGTTGTCTATAAGAGAGGTTCTTTTAATAAACATGTCGGAGATAGTTTGTGAAACATATTTTGCACTTTCTGGACAGGGGTTCAGGATATTTGCTAGGATTTTATTATCATTTTGGCAGATTTGGAGGTCTAGTGTTCGAAGAAGTATCTGCCTTTCGTTCTGATAATTTGGACAGTACAAAAGGAAGTGTTTCTCATCTTCTATCTTATTTAGGTTACATAATTTATCGGCCTCTTTCAATCTCCAGATTATGGCAACTGAGTCTTAATTTGGTTAAAGCTAATCTATGATCTTTACACTTTACAGCTGAGACATACTTCTTAAGTTCAAATTTATCTGTAATAAGTCCCAAATTCCTAAGTTTGTGGGAGTTATCAGTGTTTACTTGGTCACATTCAATGAGAAATATATTTCTAAATTTTGTTTGAAGAGCTTCATAGAATTTTGAGCAAGGGGCATTTTCACTGTTGGATTTGGGAAGTAGGTGTGCCATCATCTATTTGATCGAGGATGTCCAGGATATTTTTTGTGAGGTCAAGAGAATATCCTCCTCGTACGCATCGAATAAGAGCCTGTCACCTTCCAAGCCTCTCAGGCGCTGGTAATATCTAAACATGGACATATATATTTGTAAAGTAAGAGGGTACATTCCTAATTCACTGAGGCATCCAATATTACTCGACTTTTTTGGTACTCCGAATCTGTTTTGCTATTTTGATAGTGATCTCATTACATAGTTGTTTTGACCAGTTATGATACATTTCATGGCAGGGTCTTAGAAGACTGCAGCCCCATACCTCGGCTCCATATGACGCAATGGGTACAATTAAGACATTATACAAGCGAATGAGAATGTCTGCTGGGAGATGAGAAGTTGATTTCAGTGAACTTTTGATCTTATACCATGCTCGCATGGCCTTTCCTCTCAGTGTATTGACAGCGGCCTTAAAAGATCCAGTCCTCATTAGTACTACTCCACGATAGGAGTAGGAGTCCACTACCTCAACGATTTGATGGCCCAATTTAAATTGAAGTTTATGTTCTTTTGAGGAGCTCCCAAATACAATTATTTTAGTTTTCGATAAGTTAACTTTAAGTTTCCAATGTTCAGTGAAGGTCTGTAGGCTGTTAAGACTGTTTTGCAGACCACGAGCAGAGCATGAAAATAGTACAAGGTCATCAGCAAATAGTAAGTGGGTTAGGGTCTTATCATTTAGTAGGGGGCATTGTTAGAATTGTCTGACATGAGGTAATCCTGTAGGTCATTTACGTAGAT